TATATTTTTTGGTACCAGGGATCGAACTCAGGACCTTGCACTTGGGAGGCAGGCAGCGGAACCACTGAGCTAAATCCCCGGGCTGAATCTACCAAATAGAGTCCAGATCTTGGGTGATCATACTGCCCCATGTGTCCAGGGTATATCCACTTTGGGCTCATTGTCTTGGGGTAATTTTTAACAGTGACCCCCTTTCAGGCTTGACACCTTATCTAAAGAGGGGATGTTGGACTAAGTCTACTTAGGCTTAGAAATGATGTCCTGCCTCCGGTACGTGCACCATACACAGACGTGTACCAGAGAGATCTGTTGGAATGATTTGGATAAACAATGTCCTGTTTAAAGCAAGCATTTTTTGTCTTTACTATGTGTAAATGATGTATGCTACCTACCTAGCAGAGAAGTAGATGGGAGGATTTCTTGAGATATTTGTACACTTGGCACAGTGCTCAATACACAGCATTCTGTGACTGCTAAGCGACCAATATCGTAAGTATCAGTAGTATTACCAATAAAACATTGCCAAAGCCAGGTGGTTTTTTCAGAATAAAATTTAATTACTCAGTGGTGGCCTCTTGCAAAGAAAATTGGCAGACACCCTTTTACACTATGGCAACATGGAAAGTAAAGTGGGTTGCTTTCAAAAGGGTTAAATAATTGAGCAACTCTAAAACCTCTTTTCTTCTTCCTAGGTCTTAGTGGTGCAATGGCTAGTATAAGCGTGCGTTCGAGTACCCCAGGCTCTCCTACACATGTAAGCAGTGGATCGAATGCTAGTCGAAGGAGAAATGGACTCCATGATGTCGATTTGAACACTTTCATATCAGAAGAAATGGCACTCCACTTGGACAATGGTGGAACTAGAAAGCGTACCTCAGCCCAGTGTGGCGATGTCATTACAGACTCACCAACCCATAAACGCAACAGAATGATCTAAACTGCAAACATTTTCACACCCACCATGCTGCTTGAAAGCCACTTGATCCTCAACATATACTATTATTGCAAAGGAAACATGAGGCCATCTTCCCCTGTTCACTGTTTAAGACAAGTGAATTCTATAGTGGTTGCCATAAAAGGAAATTCTAGGAATTTACAGTAGACGCCTCTTGTAACTATGGCTTCCTCAAAACTATAACCCTAGCAGAGGACATCAGATACCGTGTAGTCATTAGCGAGATCATCATAGGCAAACATACATCCGTTCCAAGGCTAAAAGTGACCTTAACTGTATTTATTCTCAAAGGGAAAGGAAATAATCAGATTTTTATTTGGTTATAGAATGTTTTTTTTTCCTGGTCCATTTCCTGCTGTGTTGAGTAATTTGCTTCAACAGTATTGCCAGGTTCCTAAAATTGTCTAAAAACATGATTTGGCTCCCTTGTCAAATCTGCAGGCTTCCAAATTTGGCAGCTGCACTCTACCATGCACCTGGTTTCTATTTAGTAACAGTGTGCAACTTCTAATTATCAGATTGTGCCCTGTTTTTAGTTTCCAAAGCAGTTTCTAATTCTGGTGATTGTGTGATGTAAAGAGGTGCTATGATGGTCATGCAATTAATACTTAATATTGAAACAATACACAGAACTTTATTGGATTCACTTTGTGTGTGTTTGTGCTCTAAAGATAGCAATATTATTAAACTGCCCCCAAGTTAATCCTGTAGGCTTCAAATACTCAATTTTAAGATAAGTACTACTTTCTGAGGTACTTTCCTTATGGTAAATGTAAACGTGTAGACTGTATTCAAGGTGACCGGAAGGAGGTCCTAACCTGTGAGAATGGGCTTCCTGAATTTCGATTCAGTATTAGGGAGGTGATGGTGGGTAGATATTCTAGTCCTTCATATCCTGTGTTAACATTTTTCATGGTTGCCCTACTTCATGCAGTTTTCCTTATAGTGGGTGGAAGATGATAAAGCTCTGTTTTATCAACTAATAATGTGATCACAAATAGCAAAACCGAATTATTCTGTCCCTCCATTCCCTCTCCTAAGAAGTGGTTTGGAATCTCATTCTAAAAAGGATGGAATCGCATGGAGGTTCTCTAGATGTTAGGTAGACCTAAATAAAAGTTCTCAATAGAGTCCTCTGAGTAAAATATAAGACCTCTGTAGCTACAACTTTTTAGAGCATGTTTCATCCTCATTTTTAATATCTTGAACTGAATGATAGTCTTAGATGAAGAACTGATGTCAGCCTGCCAGGTACTGTAATTTATTCTATCCTATTATATATCAAGTAGGACAGTGAAAAATGTTTCCTTGCAAACTTGTAGTCCAGTATCAGTTACTTTCTATTTTTATCCTTAAATGACCATTGCAAATCAGTGTAAGGGTTTTTCCAGTAATTACAGCACTTTGTTAAAGTTTGCAATTTCTTCAGCTATTTGATAATATGTTTCTGTGAAGAAACTTTGCTGAGTTAACCATTATTAACTGGGTGGGATGTGATGGAATGTTAGAAATGTGTGAATTGAAGTTCTGTATTCTTTATAGATATAGCCCTTATTTAAAACAGTGAAATCCATATTCAAACTAGGAATGAAAGTGAGGTATTTCTAAATTCTTGCAGAAGTGGATTTTTGTTTGTTTGTTTGTTTGAATAGCAGGAAGAATTATAGCAATCTGTCATTTTACCTGAAATGGGCAAGCCTATGTATTATGAATATTTTCCAGCTTCCCTTTGGAATATACCAAGAAATGCACTTGGAGTTAATCTTTGCTTTTCTATCATTGTAAATTTAGATTCTGGAATTGGGTTTGGTGGTGTGAAGCATTGCTCACGAGAGGCCAGAACTCGGATTTTGAGATGGAGGAACACATTTAATCTCCCCTTTATGCTTTGGTTCTAGTTCCTCTTTCCAAGTTGAATAACAATATTTTTGGTTGTTTTGTTTTAGTTGGTGCTCTGAAGCTTAATCTTAATACCCTTTAATCTCAGTTGTCAAATTTTGATAACACATGTGCCATTTTCTTTGGTAAGAGAAAGCAGGTCTTAATGTCTGCCAGAATACAATTTATATGCCTTATTGGCTCCATTAAACTTTTTAAAAACTTTAGCATTTGGTACGTTTTTCCATTGCATTGAATCTCAAATGCTACTTGTCACCTAACCCTAACCTCCTCTCCCTCCTCTGACCCATTGCTCTCTCCTGTGTCCTCCAGAGACAAAGGGAAGTGATTTCTAATCTTAGGAAAATGTAGTTTTCAACTTAGTTCAATCTTTTGGAAACTTTTCTGTGTGCCAGTTTAGATGTGAAACAAATCATAGAAGATTGCTTACCTGTATGGTACTTAAAAAATTACATTTTTCAGTCTCTTGAGGACAGTGTAAGCTGAACTTAAAAACCTAGCAGTTTAGTTCAGGGGAGCAGAACCTTTTAGTCTTAAGATGGAGTCTGACTCTTTCAGGCCACTCATCAGCTCTGTTCCTATTGCCCCCACCTTGGTACAAGCAGGTTGAATTGATCCATACACTGTTCTGAGCATGGCTGAAATATTAAAAACTCTATTATAATGTTTAATATTTTACAGACCAAAATTAATGGGGACAGTATTTGGCTAAATCTAAAGATACAAAGTCACGTTCTTCAATGTGGCTTACCCAGCTGAAGTAGTGATACACACCTTAAATCATAAAATGAATAAATCATTTTTAAAAAACCCAAAATATGATGGGGCTTGTCTGCAGTTTTGTTTTGGTCATTACATCTGAATAATTTTGTCTTTTTTTTTTTTTTGGTGCTAGGGATTGAATCCAGGTCCTCAGCTGAGCTAAGCAAGCACCTGTACTTTACCACTGAGCTACATCCTCTACCCCTGAATAACTTTTTGATAGAATTGTCAATGAAGTTTAGATTTTTGAAAAGCAGACTTTTAGTTTTTTCCCCCCAAGGGCTACTAGAACTCATTCAGTTTGCGTAATTGTGACCGAGGGCCTGAAGATTTTCGTTCAGCAGTGTTTATAGCAAGGGGATGGCTACCACCTGACCAAGGTGCAAGATACAGAGAGATGATTTTGAAATAGGCCCTTTAGCTGGGGATATGGGCCACACAATTTTAGGAAATTTTTATGAATGTGAATCATGTTTTTGGCATGACTGTATTGCCTGCAATTTTTGAGTTACATCGTAGTGACTGTTAGATTAATCTCATGGGATTTCATTTCATACCACCTGACTGTTCATCCATTAGATTGATTACTGAGGTATCTGGATATGGTGAGGTTGGGAATCTCCAGAGGTATATTTTGCTTGGAATGAAGTGCCCTGAAGCAGTCTGCCACAGGAAGCCCATGTTCAAAGTTAAACAAGATTATTTAACCAAAGGAGGTTCTAACCAGGTGTGTATAGCACCCATTTTCATCCCCCTTCTTGAAAGTGGTCCCAGCTTTGACCTTATCTCATAAAGCTGGCTTCCATACTCTATTCTGCAGCATTTGAAGTGTGTAAGAAGACTTGGGCCAGAGTCATACATACTATATGAAACACCAGATGTGGCGAGATTCTAGGTTTGACCTGTGAGGGACCTGGTTGTTCCTTGGGAAGTGCAGTAGATAGCAGTTTGTGACATGAGTGAGTTTTTAGGTTCTAAGGTTTTGAGGCTCTTAGCAAAAGTTTCTTTGGGAAGTTTCTTTGATGCTTTTCCAAGTTTCCAATGACCCCCGTTTTATTGGCATTGATTCAGTTCCTTAAAGATTTAAAACTGCAAAATTCTAACCACATATGTTTATACTGTGTGAAGTTCTGTCTGCATCAGAGTATGGTGAATTTGACTGAGTAGCATTCCTTTGAATATATGGGTCTTTATTTAAGTCCTTGTTTTCTATAATTAGTAGTAGTGCAGTGGTTACTATTTTTTTTTTTTCTTACGGTATAATTTTCTTTAGATGAAGTAGCTGGTGCAAAGGAGTTCATATTTATTTATTTTTTTTGGTACTGGGGATCAAACTTGGGACCTTCCACTTTCGAGGCAGGCGGAGGAACCACTGGCTAAATCCCCAGCCCAGGAGTTCATATTTAAAATACTGATAGGACCTACCAGACTACCTTCTACAAAAAACCAGTTAATACTTCCATGGTCATGCCAGGTGTGGTGGCACATGCCTGTAATCCCAGCACTTGGGAGGCCAAGGCAGGAGGATCACCACGAGTTTGAGGCCAGCCTGGGCTACACAGTGAGTTCAAGGCTATCCTGGGCTATTAGTGAGACCTGTCTCAAAAACAAAAAAACAAAAGAAAAAACCCCACAAAACTTCCATGGTCGTAAGAGCATGGGTCAGTCTGCAGCTTAGCCTGTGTTGGGTATAACACTTCCTCAGAAGTGATTAATTTGCTTTTTGCTTTTTTATAGGAAGAAAGCTATTTTTCTTATACGAGGGTCTGAATGCTAGCTCCATCATATAGGTATGAGAATCTGAGTAAGTTTGCCTATCTGGCCTCAGTTCCATCATCTGTAAAACAGGTACAGAGAAAAAGATGGGAGCTTTAGCGGCACGAATTAGTTGACAGTTGGATATGCCTTCCTATGAGTGGAGCAAGCCTGAGAGAATTCTGGAATGTGGCTGAGAATTGATTTCAATAATGTGCCATCGATTTCAGTGTGCCATTGAAAAATTAACACTCGGATTTTTGTGAAGAAAATGAAAATGTCAGACAGTGTAAAGGTCCTTTTAACTTGCCCCTCTTGCCTTCCCTTCCACAAGGGCAGAAACATATTTGGAGAGTAATCTTTCAAACAATGTTCTATACATTTACAAGTCTTTCATATATGTAGCTATTGAAATAGGATACTTGGTGGTTAGGTAGGAGTTAGTGTTCAATGAAGCACTTTAGTATGAAAAGTCATCATGGGAGACTGGAACTTAGGAGCTCTAGCCTTGAAAACTGCCTTCACTGTATCCTGGGGGCAGTTTGAAAGTGGCAGTGGGTGGACAACAAACGTGGAGAAGTTTGTGTGTGCTGCAGAGTAGCTAGATTTCAGAGCACAGGTTTGTGTACAGGTGAGTGAGATCTTTCAAATTGAGCTCAAGCTACCTTGGAGATGTCACAGGTGGGCAAGTCCAAGCTGCCCTGCCCCTCTTTGTTGTTCTTCATCTCGGGAGGGAAGCCATGCCTCTGACCCAAGTCGTGCCTGTTGGTGGGTTGGCTGTGTGCTGCCAGCCAAGCAGCAAACAGGTTTTCTTGTTACTTGAAAACCTGCACTTGTTTGTGAGGGCTGAGGCGTTCCTTTGCATCAGGTCTGGCAGGCAACAGCGTGTGGAGAACTCTCTGATCATTTATAGAACTGCCTTGGAGATTTTCAGGAGGCCTGGGGTTTATCTAGCTTTTGCTACCAGAAGAGCTCTGCAGGTTCAGAGTGGAATTTTGCAGCCTGACCCAGAAATAAGGGCTTGGAGTAATTGGGCTGCTTTTAGCACCTGCAGGACCCAGTGGAGTCCATACAGAAAGAGGTCCTCGTAAGTCCACCAAGGTGTGTGCCATTTGTAAGTTGGAGCTTTGAGGAAGGATTCTCAGACTGTTCCTATGTGTTTCTTAGGATTGATATCCAGGGTGGAATCCTGGAGGAGAGCGATCCCTTGTCAAATTGTCTGAGCTTGGAAGGAGGCTGATGGAGCTTTCCCAGTCTCTTCTCCCCATGCTGAATTTCAAGATCACACTGGTGGTGTCAAGTGAATGTGTATCTATCTAATGCTTGTAACCACCAAGGGGTTTTGATTTGCTGTTTAGGGCCACTCAGGCTAGTATAAATGCTGTGTAGAACTGTGTTTTCACACAAGGTCTTGTGGTTTATGAGGGCTGGCCTCTTGCCCAACTTGGGGTTTCTCAGACATTTTGGATGACGATCTATGAGGAGAAATAACTCCCATCGAGACCTGTTGTGAATGTATACATACACAGACACAAAACTGAATCAGGAAGTCCCCACAGTTCCTACCTTTTTGCCTATGATGCACTCCATTTTATGATTTCTTGGTGTTTTACTAAACATACTTTCTGTGACCATGTTCATCTCACAACTACCTTGAAAAGTTGGGCTCTGAACTTCAGCTTCAGTCACAGGATAGGTATCTATCTATCTGTGTCTCTTGAATGAGTATAAAAAGGCTGGAAAAAGTTTTCACAAAATCCCTTTTTTCCTCCTCCTTGGGGCTTAGCCTGAGGAGTAAGGGTGTGATGGGGTTGGGACATAACAGATGAGAATCCCAGTTCACCACTGTTGCCTGACTCCCCAGCCCTGACTCAGGTCTGGAGTGACGAAGATGACTGACTCATGGTTAGCACTCTGTTGTAGATTAAATGTGGTTTTTGTCACCTGGCTGGGTAACATTCCTGGGTTCTGTGCCAGCCTTCAGCCTCCATTTTTCCCTATCCCCTCCATCCTGCAAATTGCACCGTTTTTACCCTTCCCACATATGGAAAGCAGCCATAGCCAGGCTGTACCCCAGAAATATAGGTGGGACTCCTCGGGATAGAGGTACCATGATTGGGATCCAGGTACCATGATTTTTCAGGTTCTTGGTAGAGAACCACTGTCCAAAGGCCTGTGGTACAGTTTGTTGCTATAGTGTCACTGGCTTTGGGGGCCAGCCCTGAGGCAGAGGGCAGCTGGTGCTATCAGAAGACGTGGCTCCACCCTCAGGCCTCCAGGCCTTGAGGAAGTCAGCGTGACCAGCAAGTTCTCTGGGGCAGGATGTTTTACTGGGCTTGGCAGGAGGAACTTGGCACCCACAAGCTGTAGGGCATAGTGAGTCATGGCTGACCAGGAGTGACCTGGCCTGGTGGAGCTGTGTCACCCTGGGGTTGGCTTCAAACAGATTCCTAGACTCTCCACCTACACATGCACTGAGTCTAAAGGTCTGTGGTAGGACAGGCTATTTTCTTGTTTTGTTTCTTTTTTTTTTTTTGGTACCGTGGATCAAACTCAGGACCTTGCACTTGTGAGGCAGGCGGTGGAATCCCCGGCCTGGCAATTTTCTTATTTAAAAGGTAAAGTAAACAACAGGATTCTGAGTCCCACCATTCATGCACTGTTTACGTTTTTAGTTTCATTCTTTCTG